GTACTATCTGTCTTCTGGTTTACACCCGTTTCCCTCGGCGGTCTAGGTTTCTCACCCTTCCGCATCTCCCTCTTCATAGCCCTGGCAGGTTTCTCGCAAGCTTTCTGGATGATCGTCGTATTCCCTCCTTTGCACAAACGTGTCGGCACCGTTGGTATCCTGCGCGCGTGCGCTTTCTTCTGGCCGTTCCTCTTCGCTTTCTGTCCCTTTGCAAACTTCTTGTTGCGCATGGGATGGGAAACGACTTTTTGGGTCGTGTATCCAATAAGTATGTCGATGGGGGTAGGTGTTAGTATGGCGTTTAGTAAGTCTTTCCCTGTTTATTAATCACTCTACCTCTAGCTCTTCTATCCATATCCCCAGTCTTACACCCCGATTCCATCCATCCAAACTAACAATACCCCTCTGCAGCATGTGGGCAACTAGCTCTCAATGATATCGCTCCCTCCTCCGAAAATCTCGGCACCCTCAACAGCATCGCACTTGCCGTTACAAGCGGTACCCGCGCATTTGTCCCCGCTCTCTTTACTATCATCTTCGCATACGGCGTTACGCATCAGATACTCTGGGGATATTTCATTTGGGTATTTGAAATATTTGTTGCAATAGGATTGGTTATTGCAGTTCAGTTCTTACCAAAAGAGGCTTATGGGAGGGGAAAGAAATAGATGTGTGAAGAGGATGAAGAAGAAACATCAGATGAGAGTGGAGAGAGGAGTGACTGGATACTAGAGTAAAAAAATGATAGAATAGATTGAATTTGGACAGAGATAGAAAGATAGGTTTGAACGAGTTAATTTCATAGAAGTGGAATATCGGGAAATCATGAAAAATTATAGAATTATTTAGAATTCCAGCACTGCCTCAAAGAACTCACAACATCAAAACGTGAATTTCAATTCATAGCCTCATAAATCCTATTCATTGCAAAAACCAAAAAATAGATGGGGGCTGGTTATGAAATCCAAGCTTCCCGAGGCTACGCAGTATGCAACAATAGAACACTCCTCCACTTCTACCAATCACTATCTCGAAGTTGGGAACGTGTCATGACAAGATAGTCTTCCACAAGCAAAGATAGTGAAGTAGACTAGACGCCAAGGCTCTCACTCCTGATCTCTCGACCTCTCAAACAAATGAATAAATAACCGAGTCTGCGCATTATGATGATTCACTGTTGATTTCATCTCGGGCACCGGGTTTCGCTTCTGCTCTGGCTTCATTTTCATTCCTGTGTATTAACTGGCTGAGTGCGAAAGGGGGGGTGAATGCATTAGAGTCCATCATAAATTTACATCTGAACTCTGGTTTCAGTGTTCAGTGTTCAAGAGACGGAAAAGAATAGAAATTCTTAACTTTTGATTTTCGACATCTGGTTCAATAATAATCGAAGACAAATGTTTACTTGGTTAAAGAGAACTTTGGATTGGAAGTTAACTGTTCATTGTATCTAGGAGTAAGTCTTTATACTAGCTTCTCAGCATTCATGTTTGTGTTCGGGCTGAATGTGTGCCAGTGAATGGAAAAACAAGATATTTCACCGATGTCAGTATGATGGATAATAGCCGATAAATACCCGAGAGCCATGGTTGCCTATGGTGAGGATGTTAAAGATTGAGAAACAGCAAATCTTGATAGTATAAAGTATAGAAACAATGCCAATAGCCTTGCTGCCTGAAATGATGTATGACTGCAGGAGAGATCAAGTTGTTACCTGCAAAGAGATGAATATAAGACTGCTTGCAACCCTGGGAAAGGAGAATTTATGTTCAGATGAAGCGGAAGTATATCTATATCTACTCATTAATGAGTCAATTTTAAACCAAATGTACAAAAAGAATCAGTGAACGTATGTTCATCAGTGAAGGACTTTCCCTCCATCCCATGAGCTTGATCAAGTCCATCCTTTGATTGGCCAACTCAATAAGAACTAAATCTCAGGATCAAGAACCAAACTTAAGGATGACGTATACAGGATAGGAAGCCTATAGGCATGTCAAAGAGAAAGACCTCGATAGACCCAATATGAAACAACCGATATCGGTTCAATTCACCACTAAAGTCTCGAGTCGAGATGAGATCAAAACAAAGACACGTGAACACCCGACGCGAGGAGGTGAATTGCCCACCTGATACAATATTCAGAGCTTTAAAAGAGGTACTTAAGCTCCGACTTTCGGTTTTTGAGAATTTCTTCCCCCAATCTTTATACACTTTCAAATCTTTCATACAGTCATAATTTTAATAACTCCGACACTATGTCGTCCACAAGAATGGTAAGAGAATCCACCCTAAGGCTGAATCTCCTGCAGAATATCCTGCTGATATATTCTCATAGCTCCACAATGGGCTGGCCCCGTTGCTTGCGTCAAAGATGCTAAGAAGCTCTTCAATCAATGCAGACTTGAAATCCAAGCCAACAATTTCCTTCCTTCAAAAAAATGTAAGAACAATCTAATAGGCTCTCCCTCTGTGCGTTCCTGACGTATTCTCCACAGAGTTACACCAAGAGAACTGCTATTTCATTTTCACATACTGGCGTCAACACAAGAGCCATGAGAGTTTCACCTTTAAAGTTGTCTCACCAAACCTTCGATGAATTGACGGCAAAACTTCCAACGACAGCTATCAGCGATCACATTCTTGTCTCTTTGGATTTCAATACGACATGTCCAGTATTACTCAATAAAATTCTTGGATCAGTTGACGCAGCAACCATGGCATTACCATATATTAAGTCCATTTTAGAGGATGAGACACTTGAAACCAACCCCGAACAGTCATGCAAGCATGGCTTAAAAGGCATCGAACATCAGTGCGCATCTCGCGACCAAGAGAAATTGATGTTGGAGGATCAAACACAAAATGGCTTCTCTTCTGAAGATGGATGCCACTTCCGAAAGTTTTCAGAATTTCCTCTCGAAGTCCAATGTATGATATGGAATTTCTCTATGGAAGAAGACCGCATCATTGAAGTCCATATCACAAAGCGCTGCGCAAATTGGATGATCGTTTATGCGTCCACTGATGCTAAAAATCCAGCACTCCTTAGTGTTTGCCGAGTGGCTAGAGAACGAGGATTGAGATGTTACAAAGCATTGTCTGTTGCAAATTCCTGGAAACGAGACAAGAAGATGTATGACGATAGACAAGCTCTCCTGGGCCTTCCGTTAGACTTTGTTGGTCCTGAAGCTGCAACGACAAACTTCAGGTGCTACATCAACTTCGATCGAGACACTGTGTTCATCAACTCCAGCCATTTTCGTATCTACAGCGATGCTTTGGAGGTTGGTGACAACACTTGGCGCGAAGACTTTGGCTACCAATTCTTGAAAGACCTGTTTTTCTCCACGGCTGGTGATCGAATTCAAAAGCTTGCTGTCGACTACTTATTAGCAGAGAAGTGGTTCGATAATGATCGCAACAATTGGCAATACTGTCAAGTTTTGGCGGCAATGCCCAAACTACAGCAACTCGCCATTGTCTGGACTGGATATCACCACTTTCAGCGTGTAATTCAGAATGAGTGCTGCCGCACGAGACAAATCGAGATTCTGACAGATGAAGCATTATCTGATGAGATACGCTACAGTGCCAAGTTTCCTAGCGATCATCACCATCGTGTACTCAAGTTTCATAAGATGAAAGGCCTAGGCCCATATCTTGGAGAGGGATGGATCAGCGACCGATTTGCTTCCGGTGAAACCTCCATCACTTGGAAGGGCAACATTATTACCGCAATTCAAGAGAATCGACCGGCAAATCCAGCAAATTATCCACCCAATTCGTTTCACTTTACTGCAGAAGGAAATTCAAGATATCGAGATTTGTATAAATTGGAGTTCACTGAAGTCGCCGCCGAAAGAGAATGCTAGAAGGATGTATGGGGAGGTTTTCCTTTTTTTTTTTTTCTTTCTTTCAAAACTACCGGATCGAGTTAATATTAATGGGTTGAGGTGTTCACGGTGACCGATGTTGATCATTGGTGTAATCATGGACTGGATTTCCGGTTTCTTTTACTTGCTGGATGGAGAGATGCTGGGTTCGAATGATGAGATTGGTTTGAGTGGGCTGGTGTTTTAATGTATCGTTGATCTGGCCGTTTTGCCGTATTGATTTCTGAGTTTGCATGAAGTATATTTTTTCTTTTTCGTCCCTGGAGGATGGATAATTTGCGAGGTGTGTTAATGAAAGATGGCGATATCGAGGTCTGAGATTCGAGAGTAACTAATGTCTAATATATAAATAATGATACTGAAATTGATTCCAATCTGATGGTGTGAATGTTGAAGACGTGAAGAGTGAGTGAGTTGTAACTTTGAACTTTTTTCCAAATTCCCCTTCAAGTTGCTGGATTGTGAAAGAAGATGGATGTGATAAGAATTATTACGCACAGATCGCTTGAACTGCGTAGCGTGCATGTGTAACCTGCTAGGACGACGATAAAAAGAGGGCAGGAACGAACAATTACTGAATTGTTCCACTCGTGATATTGTTTACTTCCTGCCTTTTAATGTTATATGTTCTGACATATATAATTGCATGAATATGGTTGTGAGATGATGTAAAAGTTAGTACAGATCAAGCCATTTCAATATCTCTTGGTCCTTCACAAACAGTTGAATGTTGTGACAGATATCGCTTGTTATTGAATCATACAGCGAAGATCCATTGTGCGTGCAACTTTGAGTCTTTCCTCAGAGATTTACTTCCCAACTTCACTCGAGAACTCAATTCTCAGAATCGTGGGGAAAGATAGCAAAGATACCTAAGTAACAGATGTGGCCGGCTGGCCCGGTGGGATTAGCAATCAGAAGACGTGGAATGGATATTGCCAAGCCGAGGTTCCACAAATAGAACACGACAACGACAACAAAAATCAAACAGGAGTGGAGGGAGAATCTTTGACATCTCCAGATGATAAGTGATATAGCATCACTCTATATCACCATTGATTGCTCAATTTATTCTCTTCATTGCGAAGTCATCTTCTCCCAAAAATGGCGAGGTCTCTAGCCTACGGAGGCGGTATCGTTGTTGCCCTCATCGCTATTCTCTATCAGTTCCTCTTCAAACGCATTATATTTGATGTGTTAGGTGTTGGACGTCCAATTTCAACATTCGATGCATTCAACGCAACCTGTGAAAGGATTGATAATCTCGGCATTGAAGGTTGCGAAGATTTGTGGCTTCATCATGACAGTGGATACCTGTATATGGCTTGCTCCGATCTCCAAAGTCGTTTGCAGTGGCTTCCCGCGTTCGTACTTTCCTAGCTCTATACGTTATCCATGACCCTTTTCTCTCATCACTGGTGTGATACCGCTTGGCTGATTCACCAAACCTACCACAGTGCCGACCGTCTGAACATTTCCGGACGAGGTGTAGCAGATAGAATTGGTATTTTGGACACCCGAGGAGATGGCTCTTTGGAGTCTCGTTTTCAGTGGATGACAACCGAAAACTTCTCTGGTAACAATGGAGATGGTACTTTTAACCTACATGGATTTGATATCCGTCCAGATCCGAAGACTGGTACTTTGCGCATTCTGCTCATCAACCATCGACCTCCAATTGATCCTCTAACTGGTGCCCCGCTTGATGCAGTGACCCTAGGTGCAAATTCCACCATAGAACTATTTCATACCCAAGTTGGAAGTATTTCAATGAAACACATAAAGACATACGCAGATCCTGCAATTCAAACTCCCAACCAGGTGGCCTGGGTGAATGATGATGATTTTGTGTTCACCAATGATCATAGCATGAAGGTCGGATTTGTAAGTTACATCAAACTTTCATGGCCGTATAACGATGGACTAAAGAAAACTACAGCGTCGCCATTTAGATATTCTCCTTGGGGGTGGAAGTATTGGACACTGCGATTCACGTGCGAATCACTGTAGTCTAATCCTCTCTACTGGTCTTACTGGTCCAAATGGATTAGTTACAGGGCGTGATGGACTGATATATGTACCAAATACAATTTTGCACGAAATACATATCTTCTCGCTTACCGACGAGAAGACTCTGTTGAAACAAGATACGTTGCAAGCACCATACCCAATTGATAATATGAGTGTTGATGAGAACGGCGACATCATAGCTGCATCAATTCCACAAACTTATAAATGGCTTCAATATATGGATGATCAATCAATCCAGGTCCCTGCGGCAGTCGTACGAATTCGAAGAAGAGGGTCTGATTTTGATCGTTTGATTAAAGAGGGGGTAAGACAAGAGAAGGACCTCGGTAAGAGTGAGGAGGGTTACATTGTTGAAACTATAGTCGAGGATGACGGGAAGGTTTTGACAGCAGTAACGGCTGCTGTTCATGATGTAAGGAGAGGAACATTGTACCTTGGAGGAATTACGGTGCCATTTATCATGACTTGTGAGATGAAGAATTAGAAAGATCTCATTTTAGAGTCTTGAGTGAGTCGAGATAAGTAGATCTCGACAATGTTAAACGCAAGCCATGTCTTTTGCAGTTCTTTCAATGCTCTCTGAACACTTCACATTTTCCGACGTCTGGCTTCATATCTTAAAACCATGAGCGAGGCTCTTAATATGCTTCTCGATCAATGATTCTCATCCCATCTCTTGCATATGAGTTGTGGTGATGGGACGTATCGACGTGATGAAGTCTCACAATCAAGCTTCCTCTTTTCGCCAGACACCGCTTCATCTCTCATTTATTGGTATACCTTGAGTTTTGCTTTGACCTCTAGTTCGCTTACTAGAGAGGACCCAATTACCGCCACTAGCGGAACCGGAAATTTCACTTGTAGTACGCCTCATGAGCTTGCTGTCTTTCAAATATACCTGGTTTTTGCTTGGCGGTTATACATATGGAAGTGCATGTGGAACATAATGATCATAATTACTTTTTCGTTGCATTCCAATGCAACCAAAGCGAATTTTCTTCGCGGACACATTCATGATGGAAGTTTGATGCGAAAATATATAATTGAGAAACTTATGCACAATTAGCTGATTATATCTTCATGAAAGGTGGTCCTACCTCGTTCTCCTCTAAGCTGTTGTGTTTTCAGCCACTTCCTGTACTTCCTCTCAGCCTCTTCGCACAGCAGCCACATGAACCATTCGCCACTGAGCCCTGATTTGCTGGAAGGCATTACCTCAAAAGCTGTTTGGAAACTGTTCAACCACGTGGCTTTTTGTATACCTGAACTTCGCACTAGTAGGAACGATCATCCCATGATTGATCAAGGAAGAATGAGGTGTCATATATCACCACCCACCACTAATATAAACTTTATAATTAATCACATTATTTGGCCAAAACAAAGCTACCTACCATTGTATGGCATCTAGGCAGGTCTGTAGGGACCAGTCTGCCTTAGTGATCACCACTTTCGTTACAGCAGTTACTAAATGTTAGCTCGGATTGACGCACGGTTTCAATCCCACAAAATCACGTTCTCGGTAGTTTAGCGATGTCTATGATTTCGTGCATGAGTACACCCTGATTGTAGCTATTTGTTTTCAATTTCAACAAAATTATGCGTGGAAAAAACAGCGTCTTTCAAGTTCCCTGTATGTTTGAGTGCGTAATGGTGGTGCTAGTACGTTCGACAATTCAAAGTGGAGACTGAATTTTTCAGTACAAGTTTAAGGTTTTCGATGGCCTCTTCGTTCGTTATGATCGATAGCCTAACTTGTAGTTCTGCACATCTCTCTTACTACTCTTCTTCGTACAAAGCCCACAAGAGAAATAATCATTTGAACAACCTCTCCCTAGTTTCCCCCCTCTCCGATAAAAATATGAAACAAGCTAATTAATCACATGACATGAAAAGTTCAAACGATCAGCGCCGTACTACTAGAGTTCAAAACCTGACGTTAGAATCTACACTATAGAATCAAACTTAAAATCATGGATCGACTAATCTAGACTGGAATCTGAGCTTCAAAAGTACTCTTCATATGTCGGTATCACGTAATCAATGACTGTCTCTAGCTATGTTTGGCTCTACCCTTCATCGTCAATTCGTATTCTCCATAGATTCCAGTCTCTCTGAACCTCTATAACACGATTCAATGGATCTCTTCATCGCAGTTACTTTTATCACTAGCTATATCTTGTTGTGATCGGTCGCACTTACCTTTCTTGAAAAACAGCTGTAGCCTTCTATTTCTGATTAGCTCACTCTTACCTTCCTCTTCCTCACTTTTAAACTATCAGTTTAAACCATTCAGCCTATTAAGAGTCTCCCAGAGCTTTTCAAAACCTATCAGAAGATTTTATAATAGACTTTCCCACCAACTTCTACATCATATTGAACATCTAATCTTAGCTTACATTCATCAGTAGCACTTTAAGTTCATTTACTTGATTGACACTGTTCTTAATTTGACAGAATTATGAACTTTCTTCTGGATACAGTATCGCAAGAACTCGTTTCTAATTAGTATATCTTGATCTCCAGATTGTTCAAGTTAATTACTTTTCTAGCGTGCACAATAATTTCACGTCGGTCTCGCCTCTCAACTCATTGTCATAACAAATTTCGTATATAAATACGGCTCCCTTAACAATATACTTACATCTGAATCTCTTTTCACTTCTCGACGCTCGTATGTCTATTATACTCCTCATTTATTGAATAGATCTACATCTTTATTTTAGCTTCAAGGTTATTGGAATGTTTCCTGCACCATTTCATTCCCCAAAACCCTTCAAAAGTTCCAGCTAAGATGGATACAACTCTCGAATCGTCTCAAAGTCCTTTGGATAAAGCTATGATTGATGGTGGAATTGTAAACAACTCACCCGCCACCTCAACCTATCACGAAATGCAGGTCGTTACTCCCGCCGCAAGTTCTGTTTCGATTCAAAGTTCTTCGGACGAAGGAAAGACTAGCGGCAAAACTATCACAACTCCGCCCGAGACCCCTTTCTCTGGCAATACCGAGTCAAATACTAGAAAATCGGCTCCTTCCTTATCGGCATCATCGTCCCCCACATCTAGTTGCAACACTCCTGTGTTGCCATACTCATTCGATTTTCTTGACAGCATAGCAGCCGTAGATTCATACGCCGCGGCACCGCATCCACGGACATACACTCACCAGCTTCCGACTTCTAGCATTCGCACTCCAATTGCTAGGAAATGTGGAAGATGCGTCACAGGCTCTGAATTCAAGACTTGTAGTCAGAGTGTGTGTGATGACTGCATAAAGAATGGTCATGGAAGCGCCACTGATGTATCAATCTTTCGTGCCCGCTTGCTGGAGGAATATGACCAATTTCCATTTTCCATAATGGTCAATGCTACAACTAAAAATCCGGCAACTGGCAATGCTGTCATCGGTGACGATAGCGAAGCTACAAGTAGTTACGATAGTGATGCTACAATCTCTATCGCGAGTGATTATTAATGAGCACGAGACGAGACAAGCGAGGCGAATTGATTTTTAGGGCTTAAGATTCACTACTTGAACGGAAACAAAAAGCCAAATCTACCAACTCTAAAAAAGAAAAACGATTGAAGAAGGCTCATGAGGCACACACGGATCTCATACTAAAACTTTATGTGAAGGAGAAGGAGAAGAAGAGATCCAGTACTCAGCGAACCGAGTTTAGAAACAGTTTGATGGATTTCTGCGGGGTAAAGCGTCAGGGGCTCGATAAAGAAGAGGTTCCCACAACAGATGGTTCGGGGCCCCTACGGCAGGACCTCGAAACCATATCAGATCAGCACATAGTTTCATGGACATTAACATACTGATCCTTACTCCCAGTGCCTTCTTCTCTATCAAAATCGCCAATCTAGGTTTTATCACGAGAAAGGTGTATTGTATAATGGTGTTGTAGACATCGATTATTTAATAAATTGGCACGTAGGTAGTATGGTTTCTAAGAGGATTTATTTCCAGCTAGAAGATTCTCTAAACTGATGCGTATTGATCGCGTATTACACAGTAGACCTAGTACTAACTTCATTGTCATAAGTTTTGGCGCATCCATAAATAAAATTTATATTCTTTCACGGAACAAATACGAAAATTCTTCTTCCAATGGTTTGATCACATCCTGATATACTCCAGCCCTTGTTTCTACATCTTCCAAATTCACCCTCTGACCTGCTGGTACCCACGGCGTATCCAAACATGACTGAATCACATCACGATATCCAAGGGAGCAATCTTCAAGACTCATCACCACGCGGTTCGCGACAGTCAGATCCGTATTTGTGTTCACTTGTTGTCGCTCAGCCTCCGTGCGAAAACTTTCAATTAACCTACCGGTATGTATCTCTATGAGGAGAATTCCTAGGGCTAAGATACTCGGGTTGCGATGAAATCGGTTCAAATCAACAGGTGGATGTTTCTCATCTATGGCAGGATCGAAAACTGTTGATAAATAAGGCCGTTCAAAATCAAGGGCTCCGGCGGTGCCATAAAAGAAGAATATGTGATTTTTGCTCCACTCCTTGTTCTTCCAGTAACTTTCGTGCAGCTGCAATAATGAATGTGCGAAAATGACTGCCAACCTCCTTTTTATTATAAGGGGTAGTTTTGTCGACTTTTCTAGTACTGCTTGCAAAGACTCGGTTTGTGAGGCTGCTAATTTGGGTAGTCTTTTGGGAGTTGAGCGCAGCTGCCAGAGCATTTCGTCGCTCCCGGTATCTTCTACTAAGAGTTGGAGGCATTGATCAATGGGTCCTCTACATCCGACGGTATCACATATTTTCTGTAGGAGGGAGCGGTCATCTTTAACAGACCCGCTACAGTCAAGTAAAAGAATGTTAGTAATGAGCTGTCCCAATATTTGGTAGGGCAATGAACTAACCCGTTTGATCTCACAACCACGGTTCCTTCTTGCCATCTCCCCAATTGCATGTCTTCTTGAACGGAAAATAGGAAATCAAAATCGATCTCTGTTATCACTGGTTTCACCGAATTTCCTCGAGCTTTTAAGCAGAACTGTGCTTCATGTTGAGTTGGACAATTGCAACCCCAACATTTTGCAAGCGCCTTGTATAGCTTTTGTGAGAGTGTCCGCAGATGAGATAAAGGAACGTCTTTTGCTCCAGACGATAACTTTTTGGTAGCGGGTTCCTTTTGTGCTTGCTCTGTCAAACGGAAAAGTCTCTTATTCCACGTCGACAAGTTCTTCAGGCATATTTCCCGATCTTTTTCCTTTTTCCAAAACCGTATTCTTTCCTTGAAAGTACTGGTTGTATCGCCTTTCTCTCTATCAGCAGCAAATTCCGTCAATTTACTGAACATCTTGGATTGCCCCTACACTTCATCAGCTGTGAATCTTCTATATATTGATTTCTATACTTACAACATCACCCGATAGTATATGGATAGTAGAATCCTTTATTAACTGGGAAAGCAACTGAGCAATTTTGCCCATCACGTGTAAAAAAGTATCCAAATCCTCCTGAGATCCAAAATGATCAAAGAGTGCTTGAGCAACGTCTGCGTCAGTTTTCCAGGCCTCCAAACGAATATCCATCGTCAGCTCAGCCTTTCGTTTATCAGATAAATCGGGCAATGATTTGATGACCCCTAAAGTTTGACGATCTAACTGCACGATTTCCCAATAAAATTCGTCATAAAAATCCATGAGCTTTTCATCGCGTTCTCGACGAGAGACTGTCTTTCGAATGGTCTCAACTCCATGTGAGTATGCTTTTGCGCCCTCAATGAATAGCGGAAGCACGGCTAGAACTAGCCCAGTCACTTCGATACCACTCATAGTTATCTATGTCGTTCAAGAAATCGGAAAATTATAACTTCGATATTCGTTCCAAAACACATTCTGATGATTATGAGGCAGACTTCTGCGTCTACAATCAAAAATCATGGTCTTGGATAAGCAGCCTTGGAAACTTTCCTTTTGTGGCGAAGATCCCGGAAGACAAGACCAAGGGCCAAATGATTGGTGAACGTGAACAGGCAAACCTGCGGCTTGGGAGTTTATCCCGACGTTGCACTACAGGCATGTTACGAATCCACTTTTTTCCGCAGCGGCAACATCCTGCTCTTCTTCAACAATTTGTTTAAAGGATGGCGAGTGCAAAAAAATAGTGCATATGGTTTACTACCAGGAGATAAATTAGTAATGTCGCTACATGCGGAACCGCGACAATCCCCTGGAGATTCGATCGCTGAAATTGCTAGAAATGTGGCTACGGTATTCTCACGTGGGCGGGCTAAACAGCTCGAACCCCATTTACGATCAGAGTTAGAAAACGAACTTGGAAGATTCAAAATTTGGGCAGGGAACTTGGGTGTTTTTGCTCCAGGTCGAGCATCGGTAGATTATCGACTTCGTGATGATGCTGATGTTAAAGAAATTCTGATTCAAATGTTGGATCGCCTAAGACAAAGCACGAAACAAGCAATGGATCCGCCGGTAATACTAGAGGAAGCGGAAGAGGAAAGTGAAACGGATGATAGCTCAGATTCATCATCTGAAGATTCTATGGCCATTAGTTTGGACAATGAAACAGATGCGGGGTCCGAAACGGATAATTCACCCAGCCTTCATAGTGCTGATGTCGTAGCGACAGCTCTAAATACGATCAAAGACACAATTACTCGCCTTTATAGGCTTTCTACTATTATAAAAAAGCCTAGCTCAGCGAATGAAAACGTGAAAGTGGCAAACTTCATAGCAAAAGATGAAGTTTCGGCGGAACTCGCAGAGTTCCAAACCTCCGTCCGCTGGCAAATAGAATTCCGACTCCCTGATGCCTCACCAACCTTACTGAATAGACTGGTAGAAGCTGCAGTATTCCGAAGAAGAAAGTTAGAATACCGGGAGCGACATAAAGAAAAGCTTAAGCAAGGTGTTGAGCGTTCGTTCGCATCAGATTTGGTACTTCCACTTATACCCAAAAATACAGTAATTCGGCCAGCAGGAGCTCAGCATAGAGGTACGCCGATTCTTAGACAACAGGCAAGCTCGGTCAGAGGTTCTATTAGTACTATGCAGTATTCTGCTACTGAAGCTTCATCTGTCAACCGCCTCAAGTTTGCTTCTTATCCGAAATCAGTCGCAATTTCTGGGATAACAAGGTCAGCTGTTGCCCGTCGAGAACAGCTAGATATTCCCGCCCCACCTTCGAAGTCAGAGGGTGAAGTCAAGGAAGCAGTCTGTCCTTATTGTTTTCGTATTGTTGACAAGGAAGATATGATTCAAGCCCGTTGGAAGTAAGTAATCTCTTTATTCGGAGTTGAGAAAGATCGGCTGATTGTTTACAGGCGACACGTACTACGGGATATAGAACCATACGTATGCCTATTTGATGGCTGTAACAAGTCAACAGAATATTTCGCAACGGTAGAAGACTGGGTCAATCATATGCAATGGCAACATGCCGTGGTGTGGTGCTGCCAGGTGCCCGGTCACGAATCAACAGTCTACCGCTCTGAAGAAGAATTTAAGCATCACTTACGCGAGGAGCATAAGAATGCTTTCAACGAGACTCAGCTATCCATGATTGTGAAAAAAGCTTCGCAGCCCGTTTCGGACCTTTTCGCCTCATCTGCTCTCGCGTCCAATGGCAATGAAAACGAGTCCCATACAGCAGGAGCTTGTCCACTCTGCCCATTTTCGGTGGATATTCAAGAACATAATGCATCACCAGGCAGTTTGGAAGTAGCAAAAGCATCCCCACCTGTGTCCAAAGAGCTTTGCGACCATATAGCTGCCCACATGGAAGCCATTGCTCTCCTCTCGTTACCAGAACGCGACGATCTCGATGATGCGAACACTAATGAGCGGCAATCAGAGAACACATATCATAGTCTCGACCAGGATACCGTGGATTTACCACCAATAGCATCCATTATTGAAAACGACGACGACGAAATAAGTCCAGATCATGCTCATAATTCAATAGGGCCCACAAACTCGGAGTTTACATCCAGAGGCGATTGGAATTACATTCTTGAAGATAAACAAGTGAAGTCGAGGCAAGATCTGGAGCCGGCTCGGGATCCCACACTACAAAAATTTGTAAGAAGAGCCAGACGAGACGAGATGTTTCGGCGATGGAAAATCGATAGGGTCCCTCCTATCGTTCTCTATGACCCCGATGGAATAGAAACCAGTCCAATTATTGATGGGACGCAGGCATATTCCACGGCTGATGAGGTGCCTGATATGTTTTTGAGCAACGTGGATAACTTCGAACCTTTTGTCGAGCATTATTATTCCGTTTTCAAAAACCATTCCCAATTTGCCCTCGCTTTCTGGGACCATACGGCCTACAAATGTTGTTTTCTTGACGACTACTGTCAGGAAACATTCAGGGATGAAGAATCTCTACAAATCCACTTTGAGACTTCCCATTTCCAATTCACCCGCATCGATCCATGCCTTCGAACGATTTGCACTAATTGTTTGACTGTTGGTTTTGAATCCACTTGCAATTGTGGTGGAGATATGAAATTGTATATTGTTGGGAACTACATTCGAGATCCGTCATCAGAAAGTACTGTCCAACATACACCAACTCGTTACATTGACACAACCGGAGTATCAGATTCAACAGATAAGGCTGTGATGGAGGAGGCAGATAGAGCTTATCGTGAACGCACCAGGGCCAGGAGAATTGCTGAAGAAGAGTTGCGTTCCCCCATTCTGTTCTTGATAAGTAAATGGAATAATGCCCAGCCATTTGTCTGTATCTGTTAAATGTCTCAAACTGAGGTGCATATAAATTTATGCCAGCAGTTTCGTTTGGGCACGTACCGGGCGGCCTTATGTATGTGAATGTTGCCATACCAAGACTTAGGCCGGGAAGGGATAGATGTTCCTCGATGTAGATAAAAGATCAAAAGCCCATGAGGTATTGCGATATCTTTTTACATCAAGATCTTACTGCTAAGAACCTGATCCCTTAACAACGACCTATTTAAACGATGCATCAGGACGACGCATCATTGATATCAATCGTACATGAATTTATGCATAGCCTCTTTGACATAAAAACGCGGGACACTGTCATCGGATTATGATTGGTCGATGATCCACAAAACCGCTTTCGGATTCGTTTAATTTCATGCGCCCTCAAACTTACGGCCGTTGTCAAAGCTGGGCTCATCTGAGTTCTATGCCAAACATATTTTAGGAGATTATTTTGACAGAGGCTGACACGAACACACTTGGCTATTTCAACGTCTGCCAACAAGATTCGCGGATAAACGATAGACGGACAGTATTTGACCCGACTTGACACATTCTGGTCATTGTTGATTGTATCGTCCGTAGGAATGAATGCAAATGCGGCTGCGCGAAATACACCATGATGCTTACTTCTTGTAATATTATCAGAATGAATGAACATATATTACGAATGGAACTTCTCTTCAAATGGGCACTTTCATCTATTCATTTGTACTATTGCTTCAGTACAGCTATCAGGTAAATAGACAATTTCGCTACTATTTACAATATAATTTTGATTCTCTTCCAACACTTATATTTGTTACGGCATTTCATTCTATATAAGTCAAAATGCCCGGATCACTAAATTGTACCTCTATATCCCCAGAGTGCCCCGTTGAAGCCACTATCTACGGTTACACACCCTCCCTAGGTTTCAACGCATTTTTCCTCGCCTTTTTCATCCTAGCAGCTATCTATCACCTAGTTGCTAGTATTCGTTACAAAACATATTTCTTCGGTACAGCTATAACAATTGGCTGCCTGGGCGAAGTAACCGGATATATTGGCCGAATTCTCTTACACAACAATGCATGGTCAGACATCGGATTCGAGATCCAAATCTCCTGTCTTATTTTCTCGCCTAGTTTTGTTGTCGCTAGCGTGTATATTACGCTTCAACATATTGTGCAAACTTTTGGCACAGAGAAATCGAGGATTCCCGCAAGATTTTATACTTGGGTGTTTATTACCTTTGATATTCTCTCGTTGCTACTACAAGCTATCGGTGGGGGTATCGCTGCCAGTGCTGGTGAAAATGAACAGACGAGAGATTTGGGCACGAATCTTATGATTGCGGGTATTGTGTGGCAGGTCTTCACTTTAATTGTTTTTGCCGCCTTGGTTATTGATTATGTTCTTCGAACGAGAAAATCATGGGACCGAGTGCCCGAAGAAACGAGAATCATGGCTGCGAAAAGACCCTTTAAATTTTTTTGTGTTGGAATCAGTGTGGCTTTCGTCACTATTTTCGCGAGATGCGTGTATAGGATTGCAGAGATGGTTCAGGGTTGGGCAAATCCAATTATGCGGGATGAGGTGGGCTTTGTTGTTATGGAGGGATTGTAAGTTTTCCGTCCAGCTTTGTGTTGTGAGAAACTAATGAGTGTAGTATGATTGTTATCGCTGTATCATCTCTTGCGATCTTTCATCCTGGGTGGTGCTTCCCGCAAATTTCTAAAGGGGCTGATGCCAATCTTGTCGAAAAGGTAAGAATGGATTCCAAGTCTGAGTCTTTATGAATGGAAAACATAACAGCACAGTGATCTCGTGAGCGTTTGGAGTATATGGATAATACGACGGGTAATGCAATGACGCGGCGTTATTGCAATCTTGAAGCTAAATGATCAATTATATAGACCTGCGGTTGAACAGATTAAATGCGTTCTAATATGAAGTACGTTGAAACACTTTTAAATTGCCGACATTGGATTGTGGTTGGTGTGGATTTCGCTCAATGTGAAATCGCACAGCACCAGTACCACACAGCCTGGCAAGCTCTGAAAACTATGTCGGTGATTGTAAAAACTACGCAGTTTGAATTGTCAACATAAACTTCTACGCGCTACTAAATTTACGTCCGGAAGGGATCTCCTTTTGTGACCACTAGATCCATACTACAAGGCGTATTGACACAAGTTTCCATTTCTATTATTCTCTTCTCAACCTGATTTCTCCTAACCCACCCAAACCCCAGCACTATCCAGACAGATATAGCATACCATACCCAAACACTATCTTGCAAAGTGTAAAACATCAACCGACTCCAAGACGTCCAATAAAAATCTGAATTGTTGCCAAACCTCAAGTCGAGAAATTAAATCCAAAGAGAGCTCAACAGATTTTTAGGACATAGAGGTACATATCACGCTCAAAATGAGATGGAGCTTGGGATGTGGAGATTTAGCAAGCAAGAAGGAACGGTCAATGATACAAATCAATAATTCATTAATCCTGAGCGGCGAGTTGGGAAGAAATAATAAGACGCAGATGATAATGCGAGTGAGTCGTATTATTGATGTCATATAGATCGAAAGACCTGGTGCCATAGGATTATATCTTATTATGATATTCTCCAGCCATTGTCTAGGAATTCTTGGAACATTTACATATGCCAGCTCACCTGTGCCCTGACTGCCATGAGAAACTACGCAAACTTCCTCCAGTCCGAGGGACACACACTGACATCATTGCTCTTAGACCCAAATCGCCGCCACTGCGAAAGAGCAAAAGGCCTTGTCTGAAACAACTATTTCAGAGCACACAAGACTGTGGTATTGCACCTTGTATCAATTACTTTGTGATATCAAGATGACCAACGCAAAAGGAAAAGCTGGAGGAGCCCGGCATACATGACTTTGGCAACGGATGTGGGGAAAGGGTGCTGAAATCAGCTCCTGTCACCAGAAGATTGATCAAGTATACTGCTATGGTGTGGCAAACACGTACACTTGATTTATAATGTCTATCAAAATATGAATGTTAACCCTTCAAGGGAGGTCTATCAGTGGGGGCACATGAGGGTTTGAAAGCTTTCTGCTTGAAAAGTGAAGTATTGCGCAAAGTCTAGCCACTATGTTAAGCCATATTTTCAAGGAAGGTTTCGGGTGAGGGGACAACATATTCATGTGATTAAATAAACGGAAAATCATTCATGTCTCTTGAAACACTTCTCTAATTCTTTCTCAAAGGAGTTGAGCCCCTAGCAAATGCAGAATCGAATAAAAAGAGCTACGTTTCCCTTCTTTGCCTCGCTAAGAAATAGAGGAAATTGAAACATGGAAAACTCATCAATCCGTCGGAAAACCACCAGCAAGAGAAATTCACGAACAGCCTACTTCAACTTCCAAGTCATATGCCTACGAGGAGTCAACTGAGCATCCAGCGAAATACATATCATCGTTCGCGACCACTTCGAGCTGTTTCAGTATTTGACCTCCATCTGCACGTGATGCTGTGATCCAGATGTGTTTGCTAAACAAAACTTTTGCATTTTTCCCTGGGACCTCGAACTTTTCTGTCACCGTCGACTCACTAAATTCGGTGAACGAAGAAGAACTCTCGGAGGTAAATTGATAATTGAGACTGACGCTGTATTCTACGCATCCAATGCCAGAAGCGGCCGAGACTAGAAGTTCGAAGTCAGCAATCGCTCACCCTGGATGAAAAATGAAGGGAAATTTATATTAAACATTGAATATTGAAACAGAATTGATTATCATGGAAGTAAGATTGGTCAATCAGTATGGATTATACTCACTCTGAACACCCGCAGAGTGTGTCATTGACTCAGATTGTGTCTTACTGACGCCATACTTTATTTCTTTTTGGCGAGAGTACGTGCCCTCGCCACCATTTACCCAAACGCCCTCGACTTTCCATGCGATTGATCTGCTCAAATCAATAAAGGGGTTTTGGATAAAGTCGAGGCTTCTTTCATCTTTACTGTCGAAGAAAGAAATGAAAGGCAGAGCAACGCGACATTGCTCGCTAAATGAATATTGATCTCCTGTGGTGGGAATTTCAGTCGATGAGATCTTAGGGACCGAGGCCTCAAATCTCTTATACTGTTTCTCGTAAGGTAGTACCGGAACTAAAGCATAGACTGAGTCGGGCTTAGAGTAGCTCTGATGTCCTCGGAAGGTACCAGCAGTGATGGGAATGTTCTTGTCACCCATGCCTACAATGGGTTCCGGAACTACTTGCCACACGCTACAATCATAATTGCCACCGCCTTTCGAGTCGTCCCAATATGGGCTGGTAGAGTAGACAGCACGCTTTGTGAGATCAGCTCGTAAACACCAGACTTTGTCAGTACTTGGCTGTTGATCCCATGTCGTCTTTGTGCAATCCAAGACAACGTCACCCATCGACAAATATCCCGGTGGAGGAATTGGTCTCCATGTAGAGTTATCATACTTTCCCCCCATTCCTTTAGAGATCCAAATTCTCGTGTAGCCAGTTGGGGATTTGACTGCGGGGTTTGAATCGCTGGTGGCCCCTACGAGGAGGGTAGCTTGTTTCTTATTGATATTGTTGTAGTGGTCAACGCCGACAGTGCCCAAGGGGCGCATACCTCCAAAGTCTCCAGACTGGGACTTTGGATGCCAAAAAGTAGCGGCTTTAGCTGCACCTGTACCTGTGTCCGCCCAGACCCATTCATACTCGGAGGTCAAAGTGACCTTCAGATCACCGTAGGTGCGGGTTTGGTTTGGCATATTTACCGAAGAAAAGAGTGAGGCTAGAGATAGGTGTTGACGTTGATAGATTGTTCGGGATTAATCAATGAGTACAATTAAATTTTTGGTTTGGCAGAAAGATTGATCTGAGAGTAGCAGATATGGCTCTCATATAGCTACTGCCGGTGATCTACGTTGAGTCCCTTTCAGTACGACCTCTCGGACCTTAGGGGTAATGATTTACCAGGGTAGCTCTTTCCATATCAACCAGACATTTACCATATCCTAGCTAGTACCCCACTTTCATGGCATTGGAATGAAAAGAGTAATACTATAAATTCCTATGCCTGTACTACATGACTCTCGTCTCTGTAAATGGTGACACGCATGGCACTATGAAAGACATATGCAGGGCAGGGAGTTTGATCAAATGATTCAGATTCGTGTGAACTTCTTGCACACTACAATTCAAGTTCCTAAATTGATGCCATTATGACACTCAAGAGAGATATTCTGGATGTTGCGTGTGAGAGCATCACCAAGACTGTAGCTCCGTTATCTAGTCGGCATTAGCGTCATTGTAGGCGCCATTCAGCTCGAACAGATTAAATACACCATTAGAAAGTGTCCAGTAAGTATAACTCTAATACTTTGTCCTATAGAGATTCGAAGGAATGTTTCCAGCTAATCGATGGGTAGTTACTAGGGCTTATTTGCGCTATTTTCCCGGAACGACTTAGGGTGGGATTTCGATCAAAAGTATATTACTTAATCGTTGTTCGCAGTGATCAACAATCTTGACAGAGCGCCATGTGTGCAGCATATATTGCTTGTCTGTCATGTCAGGTGAGACTGTAATATATCAAATGACGTTTGAACACGAAGAACCTTCTTGCCACATTCATTATGCGATATCCCATCGAATATTAATCTGACTTCTCGACCCATTTTGAATCTATCGAACTGCACAATTGGTATGATATGATATAAGTTGCCACACGTTTTTGCTTGATCTTGGTGTAATGCATGACATTGGAACATTGATATGATGATCATTTTATAACCCTAGTATAGCAGAAAAAAGAGGCCATTCTCAGCTCTTTGCCTGACTCAATACGTAACAGTCCTCACTTTGAAATTGATTATGGATGCTGCTGTTGATTGAAGAGGATCACTCTGAACGGAAAAACGGGCACACCAAAGCCGCCAAAATCGAGACTCTTTCTAAAAGACTTATTATTTTGAAATTGAATAACAATTTAGAAAGATACCATAAACTATGGGCTTTTCAATATTTAACTTCAACTCAAAGTCAGAAATATTGATTATTTAGCAGTGATACTGTCTTTTTGATGTGCTGGTTACGTAGTTCAGAGTGAGAAAGGCTAGTCTAATGAAGCGAAGGTAGCATTTATGCGCGCCTTCACTTAGTGGTGTCCTAAAGCGACGACCTGCAGAAGCTGAAAAATGTGATCTCTTGTTTGCATCTTCAGGTGATGTGATTCACTTGGTACTCGGCCAACGAGCCGGCTTCGACGAAGAGAAGTCCAGGCTCTTAGCTTGCAGAAAAATTCCTACTATTCATACATTAGACCACCTTCAAAAGGAAATTGATTAAACGAGAGTGTTTTTGTACTTAGTGATTGATTACTCACGCTTTAATAGATTATAAACTAGCCACAACCTACTTGATTATCACCACCCAAAACTTCAAACAAATTTCGTTCGTAAATTGATTCTAGACCCGCGGAGCGAATAATGGCCTTAACAAATGATCGGCGAATCATCTATTGCGCGGTAGATAATTCAAAATCTGAACAAATGATCTGTGGGGGATTTGTACATTATTTGTTGGTATGAAGACAAACTTGGATTACTTGTAGATTTTGAAATACAAATAGTTCGCAAGTTATCTGTAGATTGTTTGTAGAGTATTTGTAGATTAAATTATCTACAGATAATTTGCAAGGCAGGTAAATGCTTTGACAAATACTCTGCAGAGCAGGTAAAACCTCCATCGAGTAATCTGCGAAATGGTTGATCTGTATATTACCCGCGGGTACGGATAAAATTTCCGCAGCCTAATTGATTCGCCCAATGTTAAGAGCCCAGATCTAGAAGGACTACGCAGTGATCTAGCAGGACTATGAAATGGCACCATGACGTAGTGTTGCCAGCATTTTCTATGCTGAAACATAAGAAGTGGTCTACGATTAGTTGAAACTAGAATCTAGTGAAGAAGAGACGGATGTGTCTCCGTCATAATCCTTGTTTCTATATTTACCGAGAACCTTTTCATGCAAGATTTCTCGGCATCGTTATCTAACTCTGCGGGTCGATGAATGTGGAAGCACTATGTAAAACTAGAAGAGGATAAGCTCAAAGGGAAACGATCGATCAAGGTTTATAGATAGCTGAGAAAAACACTACTATGGGTTATGAATAATGAATTTGGATTAGATGGACCTAAAATTAACCTTAATATCATTGAAAATATTACCGTTTTACTCAAATTTTCTGAATCTATATTCATTTCTTAGTTTCAAATGATTTGTTTCAAGAATATTATACACGAGCTGACATATCTATCTTTATAAAAATTCCCAAAATCATTCACGATGATAAATGTCAGAAGGATCTAGTGTGAATGCCAAAACTTTCCCCTCTAATTTGCATCGCTATGAGGGGAATTACTTTGCATGGACATTTTTACGCAGCTTGACTCATGTATTTTTTACTTGTGCTTTAGTACAACGTGGGGCAGGAGAGTTAACCAGGTTTATCATGGACTCACACAAGCTTGAATGGATAGTTCAATACATGGCACCTAGCTTTCAGGCGCTCTTCTTGTTCTAATCGTTCAGCTTCTCGCGGACCATCTTCGCTCTAGGGAAATTGTTACATTCAGTCTAAATCTTTGCTAACGTGGGAACACATCACCATCAATTTATCACTCTCGCGCTGTCTCACGAGCTCAAGTTTGTATCGTTCTAAAATTGCGAGGGCATGTATCGAGTCGAGCACCCCTCACACTGAGTTTTCAATCCTTGAGCGGTCTCTGCCACAGAGCTACCCGTGGTGGAAATACATCTTTGTTGATCAATTGCTACTCCGAGCTTCGCACATGCTATCCACAGGAATGTTCTGTCTAAGAGCTTCTCAAAGGCTAATGTTCTTTCTGGCTGCCTTTCCTGTCGAAGTTCACAGGCGGTGCTTTGAAATCATGCAAGATTGTTTTTCCACGAGTTGGCAGTTAACAAGCTTCATGAACCTTAAGGTGTGTTAAAGTATACTTAAACACAATATATGTGGATGCAAGAAAAGTTCAACCACCAAGTCGATGCACATAGTGGAATAGCCTCTAGGATGGTTTATATGTATCCTCTCCTGGCTCGTACAGTTGAAATCATCTGCAATTCACTTGACACTGTTTGATAAACAGCCGGTAGACCGGCCAATTAATCACAAAAATTGTGGGTTCTGTTACGGTATAATTTCTCCTTGAGAGCTTTTCGCCAGAGAGTCTGTAAGTGTTTTGGAATAGTCCCTATTACAGAAAATATTAGACGTAAGATCCCGTTTTTGGTAATCACCAAAGACTTCGATACTAGGGCAAACTAAGAAGGAAATCTCAACTACAAGATGACACGAGCAAAACATTTCGCCTTGAGATACAAACCAGCGGGGTAGCTTGTATACTCCCCAAATATCGCACCACAGAACGGTCGTGTAAGGTATGATGTGACGACATGCGTATCGTATCCAGAGAACTTCAACGGCAAAAATCAGAAGCTATTCAATACGTCGAAACAACTCAGCGACAGAGTTATACACCACTTGGGAAGTTGCGAAACGAAGTACTTGAGAATGGTAATGTATGAAAGGTAGTGCTATACTTAGATGCTCCAACTCAGAAATTTCCTCTACGGATTGCTTTCGATGGACCATTGTGCTTCAGATCGATACACGAATTTTGTTCATCAGAGGGTTCGTGAGGAACCCGTAGTTGTTGTTACCGTTCGTGAGTAATTCTCCCGGTTGCAATACTTGGACTCTTAGAACAAATACCCCAACTCAAACAATTCCGATGACAAACTCCAAACCTTTCACCAGAACGCATAAAAATACGCATAAAACACAAGTTAACATAATATGGCAACTCCAATGTTTTATACACACAATAAATATACTTCCACCGTACAACGCACCAAAAACCCCGCCTCAAACCCCCAATTCTCGCCAGCCAATCCCCAAGCGATCCGCCCCTCCATCAAAAAATTTAAGCGCCCACAGCGCATAAACATCTATCCATAGGTCCTCAGCCTCTACTGTGAAACGGTAAATAGTAGCACTCATTCATTTTCGATACACTAAAAAACGATGGTGTGGGCGGGTATATTTTGGAGGACCAATGTCGATGTGTATTTCGATTTTCTTGAATGATTTTAGTAGATCGGGTAACGGGATTTAAGATGAGGATTGGAGGTTGGGTTGCATGCGGTGGCATGTTTTATTGCCATTTGATACTACTTCGTGTTTTGATGCTATACTTATACCGTTGTGATCGCTCTTGATCTTGATTTTTATTTGGAACTACCTATACATCTATTACTCGCTCGTTCGTTCATTCCTTTGATTTTGCTGATTCATTTAATATCTCGAGTTTCTTTTTGCTTTCCCTTTTGCAATCGAGGATTGATATACATACAGTGCTGGCACTATTTCTTAAAAATCATTAATTTTGATTGGTTGCTTGTTTGGGTTTCCTACGCTGTTTCATTTACCTTGCTCTTTTCCTATCGTTGCACATTGGTACTTTCTCTGGATACTATATCCTATTGTTTCATTAAAATATCACGAAAACTGCCGTCTCATTGACGTTGACATATCCATCATGGTCGATAGAAAACACGTTAGAAAATCGAGGAGTCAGGGGTACTTTCATCGAAGAAGACCAGATGAGATATATATCCAACATGCCCAAAGTCATATGTTTTCATATGCCAACATGGAAGAAGTCATGCCAACACCCGAACTCCTTTTTGACGTTGATGAAAGAGAAAACGTCACATTTCCCCGAACTCCAGATAACGAGGCCTCATCACCCCGAAACTTTTTTCTCGAAAAACCACCGGTGAATTGGAGATCAGAGGAAACACCTATCTCTCCTGGTGTAACGGTGTTGTTGAGTCCCGCGTATGGGGATGAGAACAGTGATTTGGATGTTATGGAGTTTTTTCAGGCGTATGTTGTCACCTGTCATTATAAAACGTATTTTTAGAGTTCTCGATACTTATATTTTTCATTTTCAGAGCGACCTATCCAGGACCACGGGCGGTGCGAATTACTTCAGAAAAGCCACGAGATACGCCCATGTCTCGAAATGCAAATAAGAAGAAAAATTCATCGAAAATGGGGCTTCCATCGCCAAAAACTCCTAAAGCTTGGCCTTCCATCGTGGAGCCTGATATTAGTACTCTACCCTCGCCGGAAGTAATTGAAAAAAATATACTAGGAGCTCGTCTGAAACTTTCTAGACGGGAGACTTCAACTGAGAAGTCTGTAGATATTGGACAAACTCAACGTCGTATGATTGACAATCCGCTTGAGGCATATCTTGTGGCACCAAGGCACATGTCAGGCCGGAAACAGACGGGCTCGCCATCTCCGGAAATGAGAAATACTCGTAGCCAAAATAATCTGCTAGAACCGACATTAGCAGCCAGCGGAACCATTTCAAGGACGCCTAGTCCAGTGTTTGATTTTGACGATTCGGAAGTCACAGATATTGAAAGCGGTGACGAGTTTGAAGAGACACGCAATGAGAGATTGAGCAGGTGTGAAACATTATCGAGTCAAGATCTTCATAGTCCAATGTTCGACAAGCCTCCAAAGCCACTGGAAAAAGATTGGAAGTTCCGTCTCCAACAAGATTGTGCTATGGGTACTCTTGGTGCCTTAGAGTCACCTTCGATGTTCTCATCTGCTAGCCAAGCTCCTCGAAAAATGCCCAAGTCGACAAATAGAAGGCTCGGCGAGATTGAATTACCGAATTACAATGCCGAATATTCAAAGAGCTACACAAAGGGTATACACACAACTCGTCCTCGTCAAACCAGTGCAGAATCAACACGCTCTCAAACCTCGCCTATCATACCACCACCTCGAAGGAACAGTCCACCTATCATGGCACCAATTCATCGAGACCAGAGCGAAGCAAGAGGAGCATCATTTGAACCAGAATCCCGCACACCGAGAACTGTAGTATCGAATTGGCTCACGAGTATGTCTTCTAACGCTGGACGTAAGGAACAATCGCGAGAGCATGATGTTTTTTGGAAGAAAAGTCGAAGTTGGGGTCGCAAGACGAAGCCTAAATTGGAAGGCTGGATTTAATGATATAGGCGGGGAGCATACTGTTGGGTAGTTTTGGTGGGGCGATTTTTAAATTTACGTGTTGACGGACAGGGTTCATCAAAATTGTTAATGAATATCTAGGCATCTGGAAACTCTTTAATGGAGAGCATTGTGGAGAAAGATTATATGTCAAAATAGAAAGCCCTTGAGAGGGAAGCTTGGGAGTGGGAGAATGGGGAAGAGGCTGGATTATACTCCGTAAATTCTTAATGATATCAAGTTGTTGTTCATTCCTATTTATGCTTAGTTTCTCCGAGACTCCTGTAACCCCAAGTACTTCTTGACGTTAAAATAACTAGGCATGCGCGCGGCTGCTCGCTGTCACTACCAGCTAAATTTCTAGACCTTCTTGACAACTAATAATGTTATGTCATGCTCTCATACTCTCATACCATGTAACTCTGGCCTCTATTTGCTGCGGAAATTGCGTGCTGTTCGTCAAACCCTTCACTAATCTTGTATATACTCGTAAAACAGACAAATGATAGATGTCCAGGATAGAAACAAGAGTAAAGGGACCACTTGATGATCTTTGAAAGATGTAAATAAAGCGGGGCATTGCAAATGCTCCCCGGTTCTCTCAGCGGCACAGCACACAGCACAGAGCACAGAACACCAGCGTGATACCAGCGGCTGTTTGCAGATCGGGAGTAACCATTCAACAAATCCCGATAATAAGCTTTGAAAATTAGACAGAATACGGGAAGGCCAAGAGAACCAAGATGAACGGACAGAGTAGAGAGCAAGCAAACAAACAAACAAACAGGAAACATTCTCACACGGCAATGTAAACGTACGATGGAGGGACAACAACTAATTCATGCCAATGCATACCTAGGTAGCCAATCAGATTGAGGTTTATATATAACTCTCGAGCGAACGATGATCAATCAAGTATTCACTTATCATTCAGCCTTAAGAAGAGACCAATCGAGTACAAAAATCCAGAGGCTGTGTTGAGACTCTAGAAGTGCATCGATCAATGATAATGATAATACGTATCCAGCGAGCCAGGTAGGTATTGACATCACCCACCAAAATCTGACGAAGAGCTACCGGGTTACGACAATAAGGCGCAGGGAATCAAACTGCACGTAGTTAGTCTGGTACCGATTTCAGTCCTGATCTGATATTGAGAGGGAGAGAAGAACCCACTCGAAAAAGTTTCCCGTTCTTCAACCAATCCTTCATCGTCTTCAACCAACAATTCGGATTATCGTGGTAAAATACAGCGATCTTTATGTCGGTTCCAGACCTGAGAAAGAGTGAATTACTGTAAATGAAGAGTGCCAGACCCACATCCATCATCTATTTGTTAGTTCAAGGTTGGCGGATAAAATAAGAAAGATAGGTAGGTGAGGTAGGCTTTTGCTTTGCTCCCCTTTGCTTTGCTTTTCTGCTCTAGTATCCTTGTGGCGCACACCTTTTAAGCATTGCTTGCTGTCGTGGTAGTATCCCTATCAACTTGACGTCTCATTATTCTATAATGATTGATATGCCGTTCTCTGTCGATCTTCTGTTACACTACTGATACGATACGAGATATCGATCCGCAAACAATTTGCAAGATACATTCAAAATTGTGAACAAAAAGGAAAAGAAAGAGAAACAGACAGAGAAAGGAGAAATTTAGATTCACGACTAAAATTTGAAACAACCCACATTCAGTCAACATGAGTGCCAGTCCGGCTGAGCGAAAAAGTATATTAAAATCAAGGGACATCGATCTCTCAGATAATGCAACCGGCGTCGCATCTTCTTCGGTATCAACCAGTCCACCGAGATTGACCCATCAACGACACGGATATCGCAGAATGGACTCCCAAGGTTCTGTTCAATTTTCTCCAGATCTCGAAAATGTTCAAGAAAATACTCACTACTCTACAATTCCCTTAATAGTCGAGGGCGAATCGTCTGAATCTGCGAACATGTCTCAAGGATTGGGAATATCTCGAATGCCTACCTCTGCGAGTCGCAAATCGCCAAGTCCGCCCAGTCCCTCGAGCGGATTTTGTAGCCCACCAATTGGCTCTGCATCTTTGATGACCTCTCCTGCAACTTCGACAAATCGTTTACTGGCATCTCCAACCTGGACGGAAAATAATACATATGGTGGAGGAGGAGAATTTTTGGACGTAGATCAAGGGCAAAGACGCAACAATGAATCTCTGGATGAACAAGATATTTCTAGGGGAAAGATTTCAGCTTTCACGGAGAGTCTGGACCAGGCTTTTGACACCCCGAATATGTCAAGACTGAGCAGTATCCATGAAGACCATGTGCACGACGAGAAACACATTGGGTGTGGGTGCGCAGCGAATAATGATATTCATTCGCATGTCAGAAGTTGGACCTCAGTATCCGTTTTATGCCTCTGCATATATTCAACCATATTTTCCGGTATCTGGTTTTTCATAGCCATTCTTCGGCCGCGATATGGTGAACATATCAAAACTAATGGTTCGTTGACGCCGTCAACTGCTTCGATTTTGTTTGCTGGTTTTGCGAAAAGTATTGAGTTGTCTTTCGTCACTATATTTGTTAATTTCCTTGGGCAAGTCTTAAGTCGGAGGTCTCTTGTTAGAAATTCTGATGGTGTCACTGTTGCGGAGTTGACAATGCGAACTTGGGTAGGTTTCCTTTCTGCTTTGTTTGATGTTAGGTTTCTTCCTTGAAGCCTTGAAATTTTTACTGTGTGGAATGCTCGTCTGATATTAACTGCCACTGTTAGGTCATCCAACCAGGATTCATGATCACAAACCCTAAAATTTTGCGAAGAGCCGCATGGTCAATCTTGGGGGCAATTACGTTGACGGCAGCTTTTGTAGCTATGTTCTATACCACGGCATCAGACGCCATCGTTAGTCCTAGTCTCCAATTTGGCAAGTGGGAACATGCAGTAATGAAAGGATTGGTTGAAACAAGCTATGGAAATCCTTTCTATGTTGCACAAAATTGCGAAACTCCAATTACAACAGCAATGGATTCGGAATACTCCGCTTCCACTTGTGTGGATATTGATCACGCTGGAGAAGGTGTGTGAATTTTTAAGGAGGCTATTTCTAGAACACGCTAACTTTTTAGCCTATCATAATTTCCTTGAGTATATTCGTACTTGGGCCGACATTGCTGCTGCTGGAGGAAAGGGTAACTCATCTAAGCTAGCAGACCGTCCAATTGTGACAGCCAACCTTTATGACAATACTACTGTTAGGGCATCATGGATTCGTACCGATACTAGCGATATGGCTGCCAGTTATGAAAAGTACAATCGTGTTGTTAACAACGTTACCCTTGCTATGCCGCACGCTGGTGTCATTTCCGCTGCGACTGATTCAATCAATGGAATCTTACAACCTTCTGATCTTGAGGGTGTAGGAGAATACAAAGTCAAAGCATCGGTAGTGAGCCCCACTATCAATGTTTTATGTGTCAACATGAATAAAACAGAACTCTCGCCAATCATTTATGTTGACTGGCCTAATGCAATCACAACTAACTCTCCAAATATTCCGGGCCAGAAAATGGCTTGGAGTGGTTACACATCGGAAATCAATCTACTACCAGGCCAGGAGTATCTCAATAGCACTGCCGTGGATGATATATTTGGCTGGGGCGTAGATAAAAAACAGCCTCCAGTATTCCCAATGGTAAGCTTACGTTGCATAACTTTGTTTGTCTGTGTCGGCTAACCCCTGTAGTTACCCATCGACTACAACACTATGACCAATATATCGGTATACATGAGCGACTATATATACATTCTTGCTAAATCAAATGCCACAGCCGACTATACTGTATGCGAAATGAGTAAGTCCTCCTCATTCCTTGATTCCTTGATTCTTTATCCTTGTGACTCGATTTTCAAATTCAAAGCGAGCCATTAAAAAATATAAAATGTTATGAGCAACTTAAGATTGCGATAGCTGAGATGCTAACAATCATTCGCTAGGCTCCTTTCTTGCAACCGACTGTAGCACGACGTATTCAGCTTCTGGAGTAGGTGGAGTTTTGGAAAACACTTGCGAAGATCCCAACGATGAGATCGCTTATGACAAGTCCTACAACCCACCACCACCTCCTCCAGCTCGACAACAAGATTTTCGAAACATCATTTCGGAATGGGCACTTACATTGTCTCTCAACACTGGAATTTCGAATGATAATGCTTCTATCTCTCGATTGCTTACACAGTTCGTGACGACAGCTCCTAGCCTGAATACTACGTTACCCAGTCTTGCAGAAGCCCTCGCTTCGCTATCCGGCTGTACCTTATTAATCAGTGCTCAAGGCGCTACCTACAGACATTATATGGGATACAACGCTACAAACGAAATCGTAAGTCCCGGGGTCTACGAACCATTTAACGCATCGATCTCCAGTCAATCCTACACCTCCGGCCCGGCTGTTCACTGGCAAAACATGTTCTACGTCGTTCTTCTCCTCGTCTTCCTCACCAATATCTTCTGTCTCGGCTATTTTATCCGTCAACGCGGTCTCGTCACCGATTTCACCGAAACTCAAAACTTATTTGCTTTGGCGGTAAATAGTCCTCCTTCTCAACGCTTAGGTGGAAGCTGTGGGGCTGGTCCACAAGGTGATCAGTTGAATGTTGATTTCCATGTTCATCATGAAGAAAATTCAAGTCACTTCTATCTGAAGGAGGGAAATAGTAGTAGTGTCTTTGCGCCTTCGAGTTTTGAGCTGAAAAGCAGAATAGGCTCGGTCACGAAGTTGAAATCGAGAACGGCGAGCAGTTACAGTATGTTAAGTAATAAACGGAGGAGTATTTTGTGAGTGGGGTGGATTAAGGTTTCTAGAAATACAGGCGAGATGGGCGGAGAGGGACTAATTGCATATGAGGGGCGTTTTATATGGTCGGGATGTGTAGTGAGGGACTTGGAAATACCCATGATATAATGAACTCATGAAGTTTATTAATTGCTGCTTGCTAGATGCATCATAAGTTTTGATGGCGTCAGTTTCTAGAATAATAACTGAAAAAATAAACTTTAGCCTTATTAGTGGTTTACACTATAATTGAAAAAAAAATGGAATCTCAGTGGGTGGGTTCTAGGTCTTTTGGTGATGACTGCATTCTGTATCGTGGAAGAGAATCTTGCTCTTATTGCAGGAAAGAAAACAAAGGAGATGCTGAGTAGCGTTGTTTACTTATGGGAAACAGGAATCATATAATGAGCTACGATAGAACGAACTGGCGATGAGATATACTTACGAGTTGAGATCTCAAAGCCCACGGCAGAAGAACTCTGTGATGCGAGAGCCTCGCAACAATCTCCATGTTGAGTCAACGAGCACGTTTTCTCTTCTCGTCGGAAAGTGAAACGGGATGGGGTTATCGGACATTGTTGACGTCGCTATGCGGTTTGTTTCTGGAGCGGAGTCTACGCTGAAGATATGAGTGGAGGGGAAGGGCGGAGATTCTTGAATGTGGATATTTCGATCGGAGTGGACTTTTGAGATGTAGTGGGTGGGTTTCTCTGTTGTGATTAGGTGGGATGGGTGAATGGTGAGTGAGTGAGTGAGCGAGTCTGTATATGTTTTCTTATGATTTGGATTGGCTATATGTATCTTCACTTCAAGTGTTGTACGACTTTTAGAGTTCCAGCGAGTTTGAATGAGAAGTTGTTGTGGCTTCATCTTCTTATTTGATAGTATAGTAATACTTCTTTATAAGCATAAATTCTTTATAAGGATAGCTTCTTTATAAGCATAGTCTCTTTTTAAGGATATATATATTTTGGCCCAAAACTTTTAAAGTTCAAAAGTAATATACATCCTTGAAACCCTTCTATCAGGATACCCTTACGTATCCTTATAGAGAGATTCCACTGCATAGAATAGCGTTTCCCCCATGCTTCTATTCTCGTATGTCCCTCGCGGCATCTAAAGTTCCACGCATGATCTAGCATTTCACTTCATCTCAAAGTGGACATGGCATCTGTAGGCGACTAGCCTAGTGGGCAGTCAATATACCTCATGATATGCCTTATTTGATTGGCCTCTGATGGAAAAAAAATGCCGCGTTGACCGGGCTCATTCAACCAATTCTAGAAGGCTCGGCATTCGGCGTGCCTACTTAATCCGATGTATACATAATATATGGAGTATATCTGGGGAAATGTCAAAAATTGCGATATGTCCCGGATTTGCATTGCTGGATAATTTTATTCTGGTGAGGCTTTAATTGCATTGAGGGACTTGCACTTCAGAGCAGCGCGTGGATCCTGCTCCGGAGTCCGGCGGGGTTATCGGATTTGTGTGGTTTGAGACCTGGTGTTCAACTAATTGCTGACACCAGTGGCCTGATCGTCGTTCTGTCTTGAGTGTGGAGGCAGCTCTTGTTTCGGGTGATGAGATATTATTTTTCTCCGTAATGGTTGTGGACGGAGTATAGTGGTACTTAGAAGTGTACTTATGTAATCTGGTAGTTTCCAGTTATTCAATGTAGTAGTTCCAAGAGTTTAACAATTAGCTTCACCAGAATCAATAGATCACCTTCTCGAGATTTTCCCAACATAAATATATTTGAGCCGAATATAGTAATATTTATCAGTCATCTCTTCAATCAAGATGTCTTATAGTTCACCATTTTCCCCCGAGAGCGGTAGGATACCAAGGATTCCACACCAGATCCAAGATAACTGATCTGTCAAAAGGATTGCCAGAAGAGTTACATGAAAGTAAGATAAGACAATTCCCTTTTCTTCGGTTTCAAAGGAGTCTCCAATGGAATCCTGCAGTATTGGTGGCATAGGCGCGTTGCAGCTTCAGCTCTCCAAGGAGTTTTACTGATTTACATCCAATAGTTCTCATAGATACACCAGAACTTGCTGCCGACACAATTTCATATTTGACTTCTCAGAAGAGAAAATGGCTCGCTGGTAGGTATCTCAGTAGTAATTGGGACGTGAATGAAATCATGAGCCGGGAGGAAGAGATAGTCGATGAGGATAAGTTGAAGTTCAAAATGAACTTATAAGGTTGAAGAGATGATAGAGCGGATATGGCTTTGCTTTTGGTGGTTTATGGGTACATTTCTGCTCTTATGCTATGATTGGTTGGCCAGATTTTTATGAGAAAGAAGTTCAAACGCGGTTTTATTGTGTAACCCAGTCTTGTCTTTGAATGTATGGGTGGCCGATGAATTCCATGTTGTGATGATGCGATTGGGAATCATTCACAGATGTGGTGATTTCTGTACTTGTTATTATAGCCGCTGATCTCTCTCAACTACAACTTAAGTTTTGAAAACTGTAAAACAAAAAGTGCAATATTGATCGTACAGCCGCTCTAGGTGGGTGGTTGCTTCTTCCTATTCATGAACTCTTTGCACCTGATGAAACAATCAGAGAAGGAAGGAACGTCCAACATGACCAGGTCACTAAGACAATTTTGTTTTCTTCATCTTTCTGAACAATACAACACAATCTTGTTACTTACAGAACACTACACTTTGCTTCGCATCACTTCGCATTCCTTTTCTTTGCTTTACTATCAATTTGGGTCCATCATCTCTCGTCTTCAATAGTCTTAAATGCACTGGGTAGCACATCAGGACATGTGTTGTAAGTTCTGGGTTCCAAATATTTCATTCAAGCCATCATGTCTCGGTATACATGCTCATATCATTGCTAACATAGTCGAACCAACAGATCCACGATTCGCAAGAAATATGACTCCACAATCGACTGACCCAGAGACAATACGACTCGTAAGTATCAGAAATATTTTTTCCGTTTTCCATCATCAAGACTTTCAATATTCGATAAACGTCCCAAGATTGAAGAGTCTCATCTAGTCAACCAACTACGTAGTGTATCGATAACTTTGATACCAATACACACGGATAAATGCTGAGAAGTTTTGATTACTCAACCCAAGGTTCCAAAGTTTCAGCCGTGGTACAAATTACTAGTTTGAAAAGTCTCATCTCTCTCACCGGATCCACATCATATAATCAATCTCAATATACAGCACAAAAGCGTCGTTTCTTCACCTGCCACATCAGTACTTTATATGCCCAAAATAAGTGTGGAGATTAAGTAGTCTCATCTTCTAAAGTTCTCATTTCGAAATCTCGAACATGGAGATACAAACGTGGAAACGGGGAAGTCTTGTCTCGTCTCATCAAGTCATATATCAGCATCTTCGATTCCATCACACACTCCAGCACCGAGAGCTCAGATTTAATCTAATTCATTACAGAAGTCAGCATTCAAAAAAATCGACCAACAACAGGAGCTTCCTTTCGTCAGATTCTACCGATGGTACGTTCTTCACAGCATTCACAAGCGTGCTTTCAAGAATGGCCTCTTTCGAGAATCTATCCCCTGGGTCCTCACTGGCGATTCCGCATGGAGCATCGAAAAAATCCTCTTCAAACTTTGTGATTCACCCGAAGTCACTGACGAGGAAAGAAGAATCATCTGCAACTTCCTCAACAAATATCATGAACAAGTCCTCGAACAGAATAAGAATGGTGCTACTTCCACAGGCCTAGGAATCAAGATGATCGCAGAATGGGAGCATACTAAGCGATTGTTTGATTTGAATGATCCCAAGCATATGGCCGGGAAGTCATGGGTCAATGATCCACAACTTCACATCGATTGGGCTGCTTCCTGCGAATCAGATCGTCGTGAGGGAGAAGCCGCCAAGACTGCTAGCCTCCGTCTTGAGCAAAAAGTCATCAATCTCAGTGACCACTCATGTGAGCAACACACTACTTCTGAAGCCAAGCCCCTCGAAATGAAAGTCTCTTTGCGCAGCAAGAAATCCGCAGATATGGGTGCGTTCCAACCCGAACTTTCTAGGAAAGGCTCAGCAAAGGTCCAGAGAGAGATACAAGAGATAGAGAGAGCCAAGAAGATGAAATATGAGATGGAGAGAAGAAAGAAGAGAGTTATTTCTGGAACAGCGAGTGGTTCAACCAGTCCAACTAAGAAGGTCAGAGCAGAGGTCGTTGACTTGCTCTTGGATGAATTAGACTTGAGTGATGGTATGTAGGTCTTCGTAACTCGATGTGTATAATGCTAATTCAACTAGGTTATTGACTTTGAGTTTGGGGTTGCTTCGGGAAGTGAGGTGTAGTACATGGCTGTGTAGAGATAGAGGAATTGTGTCTGTTGGAGGCAATAGGTTTATCAAATGGGTTTGGTTTCGTCGAAGGTTTGATTCAACGAAGTATCAGAGTTGCAAACAAAGATTATTGATTAGACTAGTTTTATCTCATTGCTTGAAACGACATCTCAATGCCTATTTTTAATTGCGGCTATCAAATTTGTGATATTGCGTGGTGGTAATAAAAGATCTGCAAAGTCGGCACTAAACATGATAGAGAAACATTGAAATTCGTATCTCTTATTCTTCTCACCGGTCAAGTTCAATTGTGCAAAGTAAAGGTCTTGATATCATTTCGCGTTGTAAACTAAATCTTCATACATATTTGGTATCCAACCCAATCCATCCAATCTGATCGTGAATGCATTTATTCGTCTGTTCATTGTTCATTGCTCATCATTCGTCTACTCATCTGTTCATGGCATTTGAGTTCGTGTCGTCATCATCTCATCATCCTTCCGGAATTCCGATTCCATCTCACTCGTGTCTGCCCAACCAGGCGCGTTTTCAGCATCTAAACTGAGGCGAGATTTCCAATATAAACATTGCAGATAAATCTCATCGAATCCAATGCCCCATAAATTTGACTTCTACCGAGTACCGTCCACCAAGCCATTGCTGATTCAAATTCGAACGATTCCTCGTCACTTCATTCCCACTTTCTCCACTCATCATTCAATCTTTGAATCTCTCTCCCTATTCCTGGATTCGCAACCATACTCTCCCTACTCTGCCTCTTGGTAGCCGCTACATTAACCTTCCAGGCCAACTCTGCATTTCTTCTCTCTCTCGCCTTAGTAGCCAAAAGCATATAGTCATCCGAATTACAAGCTTTTTGGAAAATGACTCTCATTCTTGGAGAATATAATTGGCAACTAGCCTTTTGTATTCGCTGTGGAGTTTTATTAAACATGAGTGGAATTGCCTTTCCATCTTCTAGTTCCGGGAGGATGACATCGTCAAAACATTCTTCGCAGACGGTAAATTCGGGCAATTGAGTGATCATGTACCAGCGGCGATCAGGGAGATCGGTAGCTTGTTGACATTCTTCTAGAATGGAAAACTTGCGAGCGAGTTTAGCGAGAGTGCGGGTGTCGGGTGAAGAGTTGTGGTAAGCAGCGTCATCTGCAGTAGTTTCTAGAGCATCGAAATATTGAACGAAGCGTTTACTGTCGAAACGAAGGTCGCATATGCGGGGGATAGAGCTAGAATAATCCGTTTCGATGGTACGGACAAATGCACCACGGATAGGAGGGAGAAGTATTTCAATCGATCTAACACACGAGTGACAAACATCAAAGTTTTTGATCGGTAAGCCTGTCTTGGGGTCGATGATTGAGTTCCATGATCTGTTAAACGCTTCACGCTTTCCAGGACAGGGTGCCTCAACCGCTCCCACATTCGCGAGACCATAGAAGAGACCGAGATCGTTTCTTCGCTCCTTAAGCGTTAAAAGCCATGCTATTCGATACCAGGGCGAACTGCCAAAATCGCATATGATTGCAATGTCTGGTCTGCGAGCAGCGGGTATGAAGTGGTCTCGAAACCCTGTTGGCGCTATGATCGAGTTGAAGCAACTTGGACAAATATCGAAGTTGGGACACTGAGGAAGCGTCAACCAATCTAGATAGCCAGTAGTAGGATTCATTCTCGGGCACGATGGAAGTGGCGCAACGCCACCTCGTCCTACATCCTCCGAATAACGACGATAGCTACCGACAGGCCTCTCTAGTTTATTTGAAGGGAGCTGAGGGGGTTGAAAAGGGGGAGGTTGCCAATAGGGCTTATCGTTGGGAGCTGCTGGTCGTGTGCTAGGTGGCCGATTTTCCTCATACTGAGGCACAGTTGGTGTACGTCGAGTCTCACTCGGGGAGTGTAAATCAATTCTAGTTGGGACAGGAATTGGGACAGGAATTGGGAGAGGGAACGGGGCCGGAATCTGTTGCATCTGTGGCATTGATATTGGGCCCGGGACACTTGACTGACGAGAAGAAGGTCTTGGGACTAAACCTGGACTCAAAGGATTGAGTCTCTCCGAACGAGGAAGCTCTTGTGAGCCATATAAAGGCGAAATAGGTCTTGAACTAGGTCTACGACCTTGTGGAAACGTCTCCGCTCTTTCGAATGGCTCTGTCCTAGGGAATTGATTGGGAGAAAGCTTTGGAGAAGGAAGTGGAGAAGAAATTTTCGAGTGATTTGATGACCTATTAGACCTTGGCGAGTCTACCCGACGCTCATAGTCATCTTCTGGCTTTAAGTCCTTAGTCCTGCGGTGTTCATGCCGTCTACGTCCAGAACCTCGTTGAGAGTCTCGTTCAGAACCACTGTCTGCAAGATCGTCTTCACTGCTGCTATAATACTGCAAGTTGGAAGTAGCCGATCTTTTAGGAGAGCGTGCACGTTCTGATCCAGATCCTCGCTCCGACTTGCCAGATCTTAGTCTCTCCAATCGTTTTACATCTTCGGGTGTGGGCTGTGATTGTGCAGTTCTGTCGTTTGAATTCCGCCTTGATCTTGAAGGAACCTCAAAATTTCCGCTGTTCCTCTTTGCTGCGAGTGGTGTTCCCGATCGTGATATACTATTAGGAAAGTTGCTCTCACTATTTCTTTTCTCATTTATAGAATTGCCGCGTTTTCTCGAGTTTTCTTGTAATGAATGGTGTCGAGGGACGGGCTGCGCAACGGATTCGAAAGACTCTTTCTGGCCCCTAGGAGTGTGCATCATATTAGGAGAGAGGAAGTATTCGCCAGTCGAGGTATGAGGAACATCTTGAGCTTTTGGAGTTTCGTCATTATCCCTGGAACCATATGCAGACGCACTCCTTCGGTATTTAGACGGAATATCTCGAGGAACTTTTGTCTGTATGCTTGGCAACTCTTGCCTACTTCTTCTCCTTTCCAATGGAGGGGGCTTTAGCACCGGCTCCTTGTTGATCTTGCTCCTCTCATGCTCGTCCCTATTTGGTGCGGATTGGCGTTCTGATCTAGCTTGTTCTGGCCTGCCTCTGGGTTGCCTATCTTCATTTCTATATTGATTGGCGGATTCATCGTTTGAGCTTGTATCGGTTCCTGGTACAAGAACAAAACGTCGTTCGGAATTGTCATCACAGTCTTTCGATTCTTTTGGTCTTGGCGCAGCATGCAATCTCTCAGCCTCACTCTCACTGACATCAGACTCGAGTATGATAGGGTATTGATCGATAACACCACGACAGGGAGGATCGTATGAGGAAACAGAAGATGGTGCAGATTCTCGTGATAGTGAAATGGCCTCATCTTCTACTGTTGGTCTTGGTGGAGGTGGCCCTCGATGTCGAACACGACTTCTGCTTCTTGCACGTCCAGCATCACGATCGGAGGTGCTCAGGAAGCTAGATGTATAATTGTTTTGTGGAGGAGGGCTGGGAGTTCTTCTTCGATAGCTATAGCTAAATGATGATTTAGCGGACCATCAAAACCTCCGAGGAAACTTGGTGGGGAGAAAACATACGGCGAAGGACTTCTTGCTCTAGAGGTTCGGAAGAATCCATTTGCCAACAATTCATTGACATCCCTTTCTTGTCGTCTGTCAGGCCTTTCCATGCCGGTATGTGTAAATTTTGAGCTAGTTAAATTTATGGTGTTATTGAATCAAGAGGACTTATAAGCTACGAAGCTTGTGTCCATGCGATTTGAGTGAGTATTATCAGATGAGATGAAAGATAATAAAATTGAGACAGTGCCTTCAATCTTTGATATGTAGATATTCAGGATTATTATTATTATTGTCTCTCGTAATAACTCACCACTATCAATTCGTATAAATAGGTATTATTAGCAATGTTGGCAGTGGTAGTGGTAGTGGTAGTGGTAGCAGAAGTTTATTTTGGGTGAACTGAGAGTTTGAAGTAGGATATGACGGAACGAATTACGAGTGATGACTGGATTCCTTCGTTTTCTGAGACATCTATCGCACACAGACATTTTTTCCATGCGGCTAAAATTCTTCATGACCCCTCATTCGACCATTTACATGATATTCACTGCATAAAGATCCTACATATAAAAGAGGGAGCTGGAAAGTTGTATATAATATAGAATACTAATAGGATAATAAAGCGATCTGGTGACGTCGTACTAAACGGCGGTGGATCTAATAAGTAAGCAATGTAGGGCAATGTAAGATGTAGGCAACGGCATCGTCAAAAGGCCACCAGGGCGTACATTTGAATGGTACTTTGAAGATCTTGCCTCAATGATTGGGACCATAGAAGAGCTTGATCAACCCTCCATTTCGAACATCTGTCCAGTAAGAATACAGCACCAAGTTTGGCCCCTTCCACCCCAGACTTTGGATTGACAAACTAGTTGCCGCAGGTCCATGGGGATTTCCAATCGTTTTTATCTCGATTTCCTCGTAGTGTGTCCTTTCTATCTCCTTTATTACTGGCTGACTATCTTCAAGGGGGATATGATAATCTCATGATAGCGTGAGTAGACAATCGGGAGCGAGTACATCGTCCTCTCAAAACAAGCATAAAGGAAGGTTTTCGCAGAAAGACGAAGATGTGTTCAAGGTCCATATTAAGATTGACAATATATAATCCCCCCCTTTATAATATACATCCCTAGGTATTACCCAAGCAGACTATTCACACCTCTACCCCTAATCGCGCAAGAATTCCTGAATATCCTTATCCTCATCGTCCTCTTGTTGTTGTTTTCTCAACATCTCCTCCTGATCCAAAATCTTCCTGATTGCCTGTCTTTGCTTCTTTCGTGCCTTGCCGCCCCATTTGACATCACTCGAAGTGACCTTGGCATCCTCCTCGCTGTCGGTATCCTCGGAAGCCTTGGCCGAATCTCTAAAGGAATTTGCGCCAACGTGCTTTTCCTTTTCCTTCTGTTCCGCATGTTCAGCTCTTGCTTTGGCATATTCTTTCTCTTGTTTCTTCGCGCCAAGATTGATGAAATATGGCCTGATGAGCAGGTATGCTCCAACCACTGCGACGATTCGAATCCATTTCTGAAGTTCCATATCTTTCATTTGTGCGAAAGCTCCTGTTGTGTTTCGGTAGAAATTGGCAGCTCCCATTTCTAGGAGGTTGGTGATGAATTCCGCCATATTTTTTGAGGATTGAGGGTGAGTTGAACTATCTAGTACGGTGTTGTTTGAGGACTGAATTTGGAGAAATGAATGATGAGGGCGATGTATAATGTTTTCGAGGAAAGTCGGTGGGTGTATGTAGAAGATTATTTAAGACGAATTGGATTATATCATACAGTAAAATGAGTCGAGACTTGCGACACGGCGTAACTTTGAGATAGATTATGAGATCTCTGGACGTGAAAGAAAGATAATGTAAAATGTGTCTTTTTGAAGAGATTATTGACAGCGCAGTGAAATTGAGGAATTGAAATATAAATGTGGATTCTAGAATTTTTAGTTCCGGAGGCGGTCGAGGTACTAAGGGTTCCGGCTTGACTTCGGTAAACGCGTTCTCCCTAAGATAACTTAACGCGACAGTGATTTTTCAATTTCGACTGATGGAGAGAAAGAAGATAGAAAGGCAATTCTCGAAGTATTGACATTTTGACCTTATTACTTTGCTTTACCACTTACGAGACCGTATCATCTCTTCAAAAATGCCTCAGATCGATGATGAACTCCATGAAGTGAGTAATCGTATATCGTAAGCCTCATATTTCTCATGTTACTGACAATATAACTCGCAGCGACTCAAAGCAGCTCTTTGGTTTTCAATTGGGAAGATCGTGGAAGAAGAAGCCGTACGACTTAATTCAAATGCTACGAATCAATTCATAGGAGCATTGACTGAGATGGTATGGCATCAAATAGGTATGTTGTCTCCATCTCTATCTATCCAGCAATCCCTTCTTATTGAGATGCGTCTTAGAGAATGTAACGACGGATCTCGAGAGTTTCTCCCGACACGCTGGACGTTCAACCATAACGACCGATGATGTGTTACTCGTTACAAGAAGGAATGATGCCTTACACGATATAATCAAGGATTTCATCGATCAAGAGAAAGCGAAATCTACCAATGAAAAAGGAAAAGGTCGCACGAATACCAAATGATGAGTCGCTTTTCCAACCTGTTTCCAACCCTTATAAGATACCAAGATACCCAGGAAGGCGGCGTTAGGAGTTACGAATATCATCATCTCGCAGTATAGTTGACAACCAAAATTTACACATACACATTCGACATTACTGCCAAGAACGATCCCTTCCCCTCTCAATATATTGAGTCAGTGACGTGTGTTGTGTGCTCGAATCGTTTGTTCACATTCAGCTGCCCATCAAGGTTTCCCGCACCAACCCCCGCATGAATGGAACAAGGGATTATTGGTCCCGTACATACATGCGATGATCTACCGTAAGACAACACCTATGGGATGCTGACACTGGTGTTGTCGCATTTTCTATCTTTATTCCGTATCCTATATACTTTTCAAAGCTTTCCTTCAATACATCAATATTTCAAATCAAATCACATCAAAGCAAAGCAAATCTATTTCATTCATTATGACTGAAATCTCAGCAGCATCAAGAGTGTTCTCAATACCGGAGCTTCTCCACGAAGTCTTATCTTATCTTCCCCAGACTTGTCTTTTATCCACAATTCCACTTGTGTGCAGAAGTTGGGGGGTAGCCCTTACCTCACCGTCACTTGAAAGAGCTCAATGGTTTCGACCTGCGATACATAATGGACCGTCGACATGGTCAGATCTTTTAGAAAAACAATTTGGCATCTTTTTTGATTTCAATCTTATATTGAATCGTAATGTCCTTGACTCATCCGCATTCGACACTTTACCATGGAAGCGAAATCTCGACGCTTTTGTAAGTCTGCAATTTATGGGACTCCGTCCTGCTTTTTTTCTCCTTCTGCTTTTGATGCTGTGACATGACTTGGTTTCTTGTCTCAATCCCAATTAATTTACCGTGGAAAGCTACCATTCCAGCTCCTTACTAACATCAATTACAGCAGAGAGCCGATGCAAGCTGGCGTAATATGCTCGTATTCCAACCTCCTTGTTATCAGTTTGCGATAGAGAGGATTAGGTACGATCGAAGTGGAATTATGCAACAAACTGTCATTCTGCCATGTCCTGATGGTCTTAGAATGGGAATGGTTTGGGACATAGCACAAGAATGGTGTTTGAGAAGAAAACATTGGTTACAAATGTCTGGTCCTGAGGTCGAAAAAGAGTATCGAAATCCTGAAGTTGGATATGATGAACCGATGATTCCAAAGATGATACTGCACTGGCACATAACTTGTCCTCGTCGAGGTTCTCAGGCCAGTTTGGAAGACGATTGGGTCAGCAAGGGCAGAGAGGAATTTGATTTATTCAAAATGTAAGCGAAGCGGTTCCTCAGAAGCAGCCTCTCGGCAAAAGAAAGCAACTTCAGAACCCTCGACAGAATCAAAAATGGATCTCCGCGACGAAATATATTCAAGCCTCGATACAAACTTAACTCACGAAGAGAGACTCTGAACAACAATTGGCATTTACTCGCATGGCGGAGGTTCGAAGGCTATACAAGCTAATTTCTTTGAGACTCGTGCGCATGGGCGAGCAAATGGATGCAACGATGATATGGAGCGTATTGAACATTATCATAATCTTTTCCTCTGTGCGCGAAATTTGAGGGTGGATCTGAATGAATGTGTTTATTTCAAAGGCGCAATTTGTCCCACAATGGTTTTTTCAGTCTTGCAGGCTCGGGTCTCTATTTGGGGAAAGTTATATATATGATGGGTTTCAGGATGATGGGTGTTTCAGGACGGTTGGATCCTGAATTCACTTGACAGGAAATGGAATTTCGATGGACTCCGCAGGCCTGGCATCTTGATTTTGGAGATCCTTCGGGTATTGATCTTTAATTAGGCGTTCAAGAACACCTTGGTCAGGAAAATCTGCCACAAGCGCTGAAGAAAGGAGTTACATCAATCTAGGAATTCCAATAATCGCACTGTGTAAACATCATCTATACAATGGAACTAGCTTTTTAAGCCGATACTATTAGACGTTGTTTCTCATTTGATAATGTAATGTTAAGATCGTGTCGAACTCAAATACCCAGGCATCTTGAATAATAAAACTACCTCTCAGAATACACGTTATAAAAACCTACAGCTTCGAAGCGAGTTCTGCAAGTCTAGATCCTCAATACAAGGGACTTCCTACCTAATTTTTATCCATCTCGCATTCATCACTCACCATATTTTCCGTCTGATAGAGTAGACGAAATAGAGAAGAGAAGAGAAGAGGTGATTATTATACACCTGAGTAAAAAAAAGTGCACGGGATGGATATCCTGCGGATGATAGATTCAACCTTTAAAAAGTATGTAATAGTCTTTTACTTACTATACACGTATATCTCACCCCCCCCGTCGGTTTCCGATATGAGTGAAGTGTCAAATCCATCGCACTTCCAATTGATCTGTATCCAAGGGAAAGGCTTTTCCGTTCCCTCTTTTTTTATTTAGCCACGAAGAGCTGAGGAATATAATGTAATGTTATTATACGCTCGCTTGGTACTTGCTGTGACATCTTCACCTCAGCCGATACGATGCTTCTCTCACTCGAATTCATTCACTTGAAAGGAATTTGGACACTATTCACAAAACTAAATGTTGCTTCATTAATATCTTCATTGCTTTTGTCGTTTCATAACTAATGTACAGTGTAACCATTATTGATATAAACCCACTCATCCATCTCATAATATCTCAGAACCCTATTACCATTATTTAATTGTTGTAATCAACCTTAGTACCAAAGGCCTTCTCAAATCCAGTCAAAGTAATGCGGTATCTGACATCATTGACCTTGACCTTTTCAACTGCCTTCTTGCAACCCTCCTCACTAATATCAATCGTCTCAATCATAGGCTTGATCTTCTTATCAGCTGCCAATTGCAACATAGCTTGAGCTTCCTTGCGCGAACCAATATGCGATGCAGCGATCTTGCAACCATTGCTAACGAAATCTTGCGCCATCAATTCAGGAAGTGGCTTATCTGGGAGACCGACGTTGTGGAATTCTCCATTGACGGCAAGAGTAGACATGTAAGCAGTGAGATTAAACTCATTGGTCATATCTGCGCAGTTAAGGATGAAGTTAAAAGTAAAGGCAAGAGGTTTTTGCCAATCCTTGTCTTGGGTGGAAACGAAATGATCAGCTCCCAACTTCAAAGCCTGTTCTTTCTTGTTTGGGGAATGGGATAGAGCCCAGACTTCGGCTCCCAAGGCTTTGGCCCAGAGAACACCAAAATGTCCAAGTCCACCAATACCAAGAATGGCAACTTTCTTGCCGGGTCCGGTGCCCGCACGGACAAGAGGTGAATATGTGGTGAGACCGGCGCACATCATTGGTGCTGCGTCAGTTGATGCAAGCCCATCTGGAACCTTGAAAACGAATTGTTCGTGCACTCTCGAATGACTGGAATAACCTCCTTGTGAGAAGATTTGGTTTCCATTGCTATCCTTCATGGGTTGATCACTGTGACCCTCATCCTCATTATATGGTGCCATATATGTGTCAACCATCTTGGGACAGTAGTTTTCGTTATCGCTCTTGCATTGTGGGCATTGCATGCAGGATTGGACTTGAGCACCAACTCCAACACGATCACCGGGCTTGACGAGTGTTACTTTCTCGCCGACTCGGAGGACTTTTCCGATGATTTCGTGGCCGACACAGAGAGGGGTAGTGGCTAGATCGCCCCAGCCACCGGTGATGGTGTGAACGTCAGAACCGCAGACTCCACAGCACTATATCCAGATGATAAGTCAGTAAACCATCATCGGAATGCATCAAAGAATGAATTGGGAAAGCAGAGTATGCAAAGGATTACGCACCTCATTGACGATATCAACATCATGTGCTTCGAACTTCTTGGCGGGGAACTAAAAGAGCAGTTAGTAAATGGTATTATGTGGAGTATCTCTTGCTGAGCCCGGATTGAAAGCCCAACGAGGAGAGTTGTTTTTCTTTGAATTTCTTGAATGTTTGAGGGAAACATACCTTGGCTTTCTTGAAATCACTCCAGTTCTTGGTGGAGGAGATAGTAAATCCCTCGATCTGTTCTGGAACGCTTGAAGACATATTGGAGGATCGTCTGCTTTGGATGAAAAGATTAAACTGGTTTAATTGCGTAGAAAAGTGTTGATGAAGTGTTCGATGGTAATTTTGGATTTCTGGCTGTGGTTTTTCTGCTTCTTCAAACATCGAACAGACGGAATTCAAGTTATTATAACCGTTCGAAGTTGGGATTTGTAATATCGAGTTCACGTCAATTCACGTCAACAAACAAGATAAATCCTACCTAGTCCTCATATGCTACTAATTCAAAGCTGCAGGAGCAATGAGCCGCCAAAAATCATGGATGAGGTCATTCTTTTCGTATCTAGAATTCCCATAATGGGGAAAGAGCCAATTGGGAAGGGAAAGAATGAATTGCCATGTAGTAGAGAATGGAATTCTAGAACGACAAGTAATCTTTGCCAAGAAAATATCATGGCATTTACACATAAAACGATTGACCGAAATCATCGACAGATCATCGATATCATCGAATCATCGCAGATAGAGTTGATGGTTGATGGTTGAGAGTACTATCTCCGAACGTCTGTTGAAATCGACAATCGACGTCATGATAAAAAGTGGATGGCGGTTAAAAATGGTGACGTGAGTGAAAGGGTAATACGGCAACCACAGCATACCGGCATAAGATAGATATCTCTTTGACCTGATTGAGAACTCTTTGCATGAAATGGTGGATGAAGAGGGGAGTCAAAGTTCCGGAAAGAGAAAGATAAGAGAAGACTGTTTTCTCAACTCTGAGATATGAAATTTGGATTTCACATGTGTAGATGATTGATATGCGTGTTGCTTGATTCATATTTTTTTTTGGAGAAGCACGTCCATAGGGTCCGAACGTTCAGTCTTTGTACCAACCAAAACGACAAAATTCCAAGATTGCTATAAACTCAAATAGTACCCAATGTGTACTGCAGTATTGATCGATCGAGTGAGCGTGAATAATGGCGTCGGGAAGGAA